TCTCACGTCCTGTTGACTTCTGAAAAAACGTTTCTGTTTGACTTATTATATAGGAAAGTTGAGACAATTTCTTCTGGCATAACTCAACCTCTTCTCTTATAATTTATTAATTTATGTATTCTGCCCATTACTCTTCTTTATTGTTCGCCCCACTTATCCCCCCCGGACTTCTCAAAAAAGTAAGTAGGCAGGGTTAGTGGTGTGTGTGTGTGTCTTTGACTCAACTAACTGACATAAGTGTTGTCAATAGGCACTTCAATTCAATTTCCACAAGCATTTGGCTAAATTCCTCTTGCCTGAAACCGAATATCCTCTCCACTTATTCGTAACTTTGTCCTTTTGTATCTTCCGGAAAGACAAGAAGATACTTCATAAGAATTTAAGTTCGTACAGCTACTAAATGTAAAAATTCTACCATACCGTCAAATTTAGCACGGGTAGTTGTGTGTGAAGAGAGAGTCGGTTATCAGAAAAGAACTTATAAACCTACTTATTGAATCAATAGTAAGTGAATTGCAAAGTGAGGATAAGCAGAGATTATTTTTATTATTATTACATGTATTATCTATGCTACTCTCTACTTATACTTCATTGTGTTTTCACCAACATTATTAATATCATTATTGTTGCTATTTTAAGTTTTATGTATGTAAATATTCATTTAAAAGGAGGTAAATTGTTGCAAGTATCAACAAAAGCACTGAAAATTCCATTCTGTATAATTACTAATATTGTTGTTTGGAATAAAGTGATTATTAGTATTATTTACTGTGTTGTAAACTTTAGAATTAAAAGCAAAAAAATCATGTCTTACTAATTAACAATCAAAACATTTCTTTTACTTTTTGCATAATTTTATTAAGTGTTTACAGATGGAGAAGTCAATGAATCAGCATGTTTCAAACATGCATTTTGAAAGTGAGAACCGACAGATTACAATGAAAAATTGGTTAGATGTTTATTAGGCTGATGAATTTCACTCGGCAAAAATATAATATACATGAACATATTGTGTTTAACTTATTTATAACAAACGTTTTAGCCGACTGATTGTTTATGTATGTATGTACGTTTACCTTATTTAGAACATGTATGAGACATGTTGAAAAAATTTTCAGGTATTGGCTTTGTAGGAACTTTTTGTTAGGTTGTTTGGAGGATTTCATCATGAGCTGATATCGGTTAGACAAGCATTTTTGAAGAGTCCCAAAGTAGGCTGACAAAACAGCTGTCCGACAGTACTCCCAGCTGGTTTTCCAATGATTCTCTAACTGATATCAGCTCATGATGAAATCCTCCAAAATATTGAAAATTCACAATTAATTTCAATCAACAAGAATAAACAAGTATCGGTTTGCAGGGATTTGATTGATTCGCTTTCAGGATTTCATCATGAACTGACATCTCGGTTAGAGAACCATTGGGAAACCAGCCTGAAATAATGGACAGCTGTTTCTTCAGCCTAGTCGGGGACTCTTCAGAAGTACTCATCCACTGCCAGGGTTCAAACCCACGAGCTTGTGATAACAGGGTGAGCTAGCTAGAAGACCATTAAGCCACTGGGACCCGACTGCATCCAATTGCCAGTACATGAATTCCAGCTCTTGCCGATTCATGATGTGACGCCACTGGCACCAGCGAGTGTCAACGGTGGCGAGTACTTGTCCTCTAACGGATGTCAGTTCATGATGAAATCCTGGAAGATAAACTAAAGTTTCAGGAGTTAGTCAATGTATATATATATATATATAGGGTATACAATTGTTTTAATTTTGACTACGGATCGGTGCTGGGTTAGGGAAGCACTGGAAACCAATATGGAGTACTGGACACTTGTTTCGTCCCCTTAGTTTTGGATTTATCGTCAGTACACACCCATCACGGTTCAATCACTATCAGTCTCTGAACGAATTTGAAACGAATCAAATTCCTACAAACTAACTCGCGAAAATTAATTTGATACTCACTAGTGACTATTAGCAACAGAACCAAGTTGACTGGAGGGAGTTCTAATGAGAGGTTAAAACCAGTGGAGTCCACCCGGTTGGATAGGTGTAAGAAGAGATACTCGCAGCCGATGACATCACTGGCTTGTGCCAGTCACGAATTGGCAGAAGTTGGAATTCATCGGCTGGTCACTGGTTATTGGTCCCAGTGATTCATTGCCTTGCGAGCTGGCTTTGTAGCCGAGTTCAAACCTCGGTGGTTTCTTACTACTGAAAGGTCTCAAACTAGGATGAAGCAGCTATTCAGGACTTTGTAGTTTTCAGTAGCCCTCTAACTGTCATCAATTCATGGTCAAATTTGAAAAAAACAAGCAAACATCCCACTAACTGAAACAATATGCTGTATATGCGAAAATATTGATTCACATGGGATAAATATAGTTATGCCAGCTGTCTATTTGAAGGAACTCCTATTGAGATGCATTCCAGATGTTCAGTTCTCTTTCTGTAGGAAAATATATTGGCAAAAAGATGCTTTGGCTATCGGCTCACCGGTGGACCCATTGCTTGCAGACTTTCTCATAACAAAACTAAAAAATAAATCCCTAGAGAAAATGATTGACAGCTTCAGGTTCTACGGAGAGATACGTGGATGAAACTTTCATCTTCAATAACAGGGAGAAGTCAGAGGATATCCTGGACGTTTTCAAAAGCTGCCATCCTGTGATTAACTTGACATTAGGGCAGGAGTCAGACACAAAAATATCTTTTCTAGACGTTCAATTAACTAGACATGAACAAGATGAGACACTAGAAAGATCCGTCTACAGAAAGCCGACATGAAACAGACAACTCATCAAATTTCGTAGTTGGGTGCCTCTGTATACGAAATGGAACCTGATCCGTTTACTGAGCCATAGAATCCGAAGAATTCGTAGCCTTGACACTATGGAACGAAAACTGAGTACCCTGAAAAGAATCCTCCTCGAAAATGGCTACCCAGAACATTTAACCACAAAATCTGTGAAGCCTGAACCACTTAAAACGCTCACACTTTCTGCTCCCAAAAAGCGTCTCTAATTGAATCTACAATTCAATGGAGACTCATCAGCAGAAATGCTGAGAAACCGCCTATCCCGCTCGTTGGAGAAGTAGTTCTCTCTTCATATGGAACATGATATATATACCTCAGATTGTTACTTTATATGTAAATCGTGTATAAAGAGGAAATATCTGGAATTAAACACTCTGAGAATTTTTGTAATATGTGTTCACATATTGTCGGAATTAGAGCTTTATTACTATTATGATTATTATAAAAACTAATGGCAGTTTATGCAGATTGGTACACCTTGGATAATTCCATTACACGTGAATTTGATCTTGGATAAAATTGACCAAGTAGAGGTTGGAAAGGTTTCTTCCAATCACGTCTCGCGAATTCAAGGTCATTCTCTCTGCTCATTTTATTATCATTGTGTTTATTGGTTTACAATTAACTATCAGTTTTAAAAGTTGATTTTGGATAAAAAGCTCTTAGCCCATTTCAATTCTCCAAGCTGAAACCGACGTGTACAACTAGATTTTTCCTTAAATAAATTGAGAGAAATCGTTTTTCTTTCTTTACAACTGCGCAACAGACGCCAAATTCAGAGGACGCTGAAACAACCAGTCAGATCCTTCTAGGTGGAAAGTGGCATTTACTGTGTATTTATTAGTTATATATGTAATACAAATGAGTTATGCAGGGTATGCATCTCTGATATTCTGGGAAAATTGGTCCCACTTTCTCATAGGATCGGTTATAGACATATCAAACCAATGTCGATACAAAAATTCATCTAAGTGGCTATATATCATAACATTTAGGGAACCATTTACCATTCTAATACTTTTCCAGATGGGCCCAGAATCCTTCAATAGAATTTGTACGAGTTCCACTTATAGGATCCACCAATTCAGAAGAAGGATTAAATTTATGATAAAATAGCCTACTGATGATAATTGCGAATAACCTCTCCACTCATCTATATTGATGATAGTGCCTGGGAGGACTAGTCGTTGTATAATTGGTATTAGAACACCGGTATATCTGTGTGGGATGAGTTCTATAACTTCTTTATGAAGATTTGTGCCGTACAGTTCCAGCACCCAAACATGATTTGCTCTTCTCCTACCAAGGCAATTCAGTTCTCATTTAATAAGTACCGTTTCGTTAATATGAATGATGACACCGATTCCTCCAAGTACAGAAGTAATTCCATTGATGTTTTGTGACGCAATATCCCGCCAGTGCTGATACCACTCACTGCACTGTTGACATTTTGGTATTCTCTGTTTCTGCAGCTGTAGCAGATACTACTGGTCGCTTCAGTAGCCAGTTGTGGCATATACGCAATATTTTACTAAGAGAGAGTTTCGATTTCGAGAAGAAACCGTCTAAAAAATCATTATAATATACAAATTATCAACCCTTACAGATTTCCTTATATAACAGTGGTTGTATCATTAGCCGGGCAATACTTCTGCAGACTCATTATCCCTCCACCAAGTATGCAGGTTTTATTCCTTCGTATCAAACCATCTACCGCGCAGCAGAAGTCAAAAACGCAATCTAATCTGGCTGAAACTTGCAACGATGATTATGAAGACAAGCATCCATTGTAATGCTGGTCAACGATCTGATTGGTTATCCATAATGGTTAATTCAAGGTCATTCGATTTTGGTGTCTATTGCTTACTCTATGTGTCATCCAATAAAAATGAAATAAGCAAATTTCATTCGATGGCGGACTCATCGATTTTCCTAAGGTCAAATTTCCACTTCCCCTATAAAATAAAAGATGCAGCCCGTTTTGTTTTTTCTTTTTTAATCATCAACAGCATCATTGTCATCGGAAGAAGAAGAATAATAAGGCGAAATAATCAAAATGTAAATTATCATCACTTTTCTGAAATGAAATGAAATCAGATACCAGTAACAGGATATTATTAACTAATCAATATGTATTTATTGTTCGACCATTTTACTTTCTATTTTGTTTTGTTTTTTAGTGACATTAATGTATTTCTATGATCAAAATAATTAATAATTTACAATACAGCGAGATTTCCATGCATTTAATGGACATAACATCATCGTTGAATTTTATGCTACTTTTTCTCTGGATAATTATTCTACTCCCAGAATCAGTGTATACACAGGATATGAGTAAAATTATGATTGATGAAAAGACAGGATACTTTATGGATTCACGTGGTTATGTTAAACTATTCCATGGTATTAATAGTGTGCCTAAATATCCACCGCATTATTTTCCATCCTTACTCAATGCATCAACACTGAGAGCATTCCGTGATTGGGGAATTAATGTTATCCGCTTAGAATTTAGTTGGTTAGCTCTGAAACCATCTGAACAAAACACAAATTATGAATACTTGCAGATTGTGCGCAAAATTATTGACAACGCTGAAGAGAATGGAATATATGTGATATTAGATTTTCATCAAGACGGTTTGTCAGAGCGTATTGGTGCAATTGATTCTGTACCGAATTGGTTTATGGATAAATTACCAAGACCACCGAAATTATTTCAATATCCTTGGCCGTTATCAATTCAGCCAAACAATCCATTGTGGTTTTTAACTTATTTCACATATGAAAGTGCTTATACATTTGGTAATATTTATAAAAATGTTTCAGGAGTATGGAATGATTTAGGAGAGTTTTGGAGAATAGCAGCTGAAAATTTTGGAATGAAAGCTAATCTTTTAGGTTATAATCTGATCAATGAACCACCTCCTGGAAATTTTTATGCAAATCCATTCCTATTAATGCCTTGTAAGTGCTAATAATAATTAATAATTATGTTTCATTTTTATTAAAATTATTATTATTTTTTCTTGGTTAAATGAAATTGTCTTAAAATTTGACCTACATTAGTAATAATATTATTCCCTTTGGTTCTGAGTGGAACATAGGGCTTCAAAAACACATATCCACTTTCTTCTGTTTTCTCCTGTCCTCTTAATCTGGCTGACCTCACAATTACCTGTAATCTTCCATGTCACCTTCGCACTGACTACTCACTGTTTTCGCTTACCATTCGGATTCCACTCGAGTGATGGATGGCCTGAATTGAGCGTCACGTCATTCAACGGCCTGCTCAATGTATGCCCAACCAATACACCATTTCGAACTTTTCCTACATATTTGTTGGGTAATCGGCTCTTGGTTAATTCATTCATTGGCAGAGTTTCTTACTGCTTATTCTTTCTAGCCAGCCGACTGGCTGTTTGATCTTCACTATGGAGCCGACCAGCCAGCGAAGGTCTCAGCTGTTGATAAAAGTGTGCTACTGGCTGTTGGAAATGTTTTCCGTGATGCACACACCATTTTTGACCCGTACATATGAAGTGACTGACTGACTGACTTCACTGATATTTTAGTTTAAAATCCGAATCGTGTTCCTTTTACTAGCTGAGGTGGAGTGGAGAAGACTTCCGAACTGGTTTCAAGTCGATGAAGGCGTATCATGCCTTTCCGATTCTGGCTGGCTGGCTTTGACATCTTCACCTGTTCCGACTGCCTGTAGTTGAAACTATGCTGTAGTCTAGATAAGTGAAGCAAGTGACCCCTGTCAAATCTCTCCCGTTGATGTTGATTGGTGCCGGTTGTTGTGGCTGTTGATGGTGGTTGGTTTTCTTCATCACCTCAGTCTACACCCTCTCTATGTTCACCTGTAGTCATGCCTTTGTTGCCAGTTTCTTCAGCTAGCTTGTTGGTTTTCGCCTGTTGGTCTTTGAGTTTGTGTGACATTAAACATAAGTCATCCACACGCGAAATCCACATCTGGGCGTCAGTGGCATGGCGGTTAGGACGCTCGCCGACCGTGCACATGATCCGGGTTCAATTCCCGGACGACGCAGTCCTATACCTCTCTAAGCCAGAAATAAAGCTCGTGAAGAGGAAAGGTTGGGTATGAGGCTAGCAACCTCATCCAGTAAAAAAAGACACTGCTACCGTAACTTCAAGCCTCTAGCTTGAAGATGCTTTATGAAGGAACTAATAATAAAAAATAATAAGAGTCTTCTCACCGGTCAGTGCACCATAGTTCTGTCTTCTCACTCACCCTCTCCCCATGTACAGTCTTCTGCATAATCCAGTGCATCACAGTTAGGAATATCACCGATGGTGATAACAGCCAATCAGCCAGCTTTGCTTACTCCTGTGTTCACTTCGAATGGCTCACTGAGTTTTCCGTTGTGGATCACCTGACACGTGGCATCATCGTCATACAGCAAACTGTTGAATGAGGTTGATAAAGACTTAGGCACTGCTTAGTATACTGTTGAATCAGTTTCCAAATTTCTTGATATAAGAATAAAACTTGGGCACTGTCGTACAGTATTACTTCATTATGGATAAGACTTTATTTTGGTAAATCACACAGTGTTATACAATAATATTAACTGATGACCACGTTTCGAGCACAAACTATCGCCACTCATAATCACATAAAATCACTCCCACAACTTTTTTCCTTCATTGATATACTTGTGTGGAATTGACTAGATATTTGAATAAAAATCAAAAAGAGATTATGTACATTGAAAAGTAATAATAATATGAATGTTATTGATCAGCTACAATCACATGGGAAATAAGACGAGTGTTTCTTTAGTCATAATAAGTAACTTGTTAGAATGTTGTGATGTGTTTGAATCGAAATAGAATTTTGAGATTATTTATTATCCGCTTCTGATTTGACTGGCAGTAATAATATCTTCCATATTTCCGGTATTTGCATTGAGTCATTTCTGTTGCATATGTTGAGTGTAGACTCGATGAACAAGGGTGCAGTAATCAGCCTCTCTCTCTCTGCACCTACCTACATTACTCCCACCATGCTACTGTGTGGTTGTGTGTTAATGCATGCAGTGCAATATGGCGCTGAGTTATTTTTTCTAAATTACTTATCTTCGTGGGGTCAGCCATTCTAACCTTAGCTAAATTCTTATGTTCCGACAATCTGACTACTCCTGACCTACTAGTGTGACCTATGTAGTTGACCTAACTCACAGTCATTGCAAGGTATTTTGTAAATTATATTATTTTGTCTAATTGGGTCAACCGAAAGGGTCCCTTAACCTACAGAGCTTGTCCCTGAGTGAGTTTGTAGGTTTAAATACCACCACCCTAATTCCTGCTTTATTTAGAATCCTACGTAGGGTCTCAGATGTCCCCTCCCTACATGGTATAACAGTAGATGCCTTATATGCTCTCTTATTTATATTAGTTATCATCATTAGTTTCACCATTATTTATATTTTGCTTTCAACCTTTTCTCATCTTCCTAATGAATTTTATAGGATAGTTAGCTATTTCACACCAATGCTTCTTCTATCTGTTTTATTTCATCACTTAGGTCGTTTTTTTGTACTACTCAGTGTTGTTATTGCCCTGTTTGTTAGACACTTAACTAAGCCTGCCTTAACAGACAGATAACGAACGGATGAGATGAACTGAAGTCTAAATCTTTATTAGTAGAATGCGTTGGCTTATTGTTAACGCTAGTGTGCAGTTTACCTTCTTCTCTTCGTTTTATTTTGCACTCTAACATCACAGCTGATTCTCCTTGTTTATCTTGTGATTCAGATGTGAGTTTTATTCCCTTTACTAGTGAGTTTATGTGTGTGTGTGAGTGTGTGAAGTAGCTAGAGAGAGAGAGATGTTCTGTTTTCAACACTGTGTGAAAGTGTCATCCACATATCTCCACCATATTTTTGGAGGAGGATTAGGTGAATGTATTAAGAGCAATATTTTCCCAGCTATCCATCCATGAAGATATCTGCTACGATAGGGGATATTGGTGATCCATCTCATTGTTACACACCTTCTGTTTGTCTGTATATTTTGCCCTGAAATTTAAAGATAGTAGATGTGAAGCATAACTGAATGCCTAAAATAATTTCCTCAATGGGCAGCTTCGTCCTATGAGTAAGTTCAGGATATGCAGTTAGTTCTCTTTCGACTGCTTCTAAGGCTTCCATATTGATTGGCATATTAGTACAAGTTATACTAGTTATATCAAAACTAACCATTGTTTCATTATTCTCTAGTTAAATGTCATTTAGTTTCTTTTTCATCTCATATGAATTAGTTAGTTAGCCTAGAGTTTGAACGATTTCTAATGGGACATAATATTAGAGCTAAGTGTTTTGATAATTCATTACTGTATAACACTGTGTCATTTATCAAAATAAAATCTTATCCATAATGGAGTTTCAAATTACTTCTCCGTCAACGTTGTCTGTCGAAGGCCTTTTCGAAGTCAATGAAGTTGAGGTAGAGAACGATTTGACTACCATTCTATGCTTTGTTCTGTTGGATGACGATGCGTAAAGCTGCAATTTAATCAGCACATTTTTGCCTTTCATGAATACAGCCGACTTGTTCCGGTGCGGCTGGTGGAGTTCTGTATCCAGTGCATAATTTATTGTCTCCAGAATGATGTGACTTAGTGTTTTACTCGGCGTAGACAAGAGCATTATTCCACTTCAGTCAGTTCTTGCAGAGTGAGGCGTAATTCGCCCTTTTTTGATAGTTTGACAAAGTGGCCAGCCTTTCTTCCAATCAGTAGGCGTCTTTCCTTCCTTCCAAACAATTTGGAATAATTGTGTGAGAATATTTGCCAAATTCTCTCGGTTCGTTTTCAGTGCTTCGGGAGGAATTCCGTCTAAAAACATGACCTTCAAGGACAAGTCAAATACAGGACGTTTTATGAAAAATCATTCCAAATCAAACTGTGCCTGCCTCTTTAGACTTAGGGAGGGTAGACACAGTATCCGACTTGTTTCCTAGGTACTTTTTCAGTAAATCTGCACCGCTTTAATATTTAGGTTAGTGTCCAGGTTTAAAGTTAGAATTAGCAGTTGGGATTATGGTTAGAGTTAGGAGTAGGAGTAAGTTAAAGGACACTGTCAGATACACCAATGGATCTCAAAGTATCATGACCTACAGTCACCTGGTTGAATGAATCGACGCGATGGACCTATAGCGCATGGTATCACTTCTCTATAGATCATCTGTGTAGTAGTAACTGTGTAGTAGTAACATTCTCACAACACATAAGTGACAATTACCTAGTATGATATCATATTTGTAGTTCTAAGTGCATTTTTCAACGACTGTGCAACTTTTTTTGTATTTGAATTCTATTTGAATGTTCAAGGTCACTGCGATTTTGTTTATGATGCTTTAAATTTGCCATTTTCCTTAATAATTTCATTTCATTGATTGACAATAAGACAAGGAATCGGCCTTCTGTTAAGATAGCAATGACTTTCTTGCCTGCGTTACTTTTTTGCGAAGTCTTGCATTCGACATGGCTAATATAGTGTGGTAGATACTATTTATGGCATATTGTGGAAGGAATAGGATGAAGACAGTTAAACACATTTCTTAGTTGCATAATTTGAGGATTATATTACGAATCTTTTTTTCTATTTTGAAATCTGGAAAACATTAGTCTGAATCTTTCTAAAATAACAGTGTAGAGGAATAAATAGCGAGCTGGATACCGGTACAAAATATTAGAATAAAACTCCGCGCTTATGAAATAATATTGTAACAGTATATTATACAAATACAGTTAACTGGTTATAGAAATGAATGGTTCCTTGGTGATACAGTTATTATTAATGAAATCCACAGAAGCGTTCACTGCTGGAGTCGTATCTACTAGCAGAAATTGTGCATCCGTTGTGGAATAATCTTTGGATGAGGATGAAAGGTTCCTGCAAAAATCTAAATGAACGAAGCATCGAGCAGCGCATTCA